GCTGTGTGCCGGGTGTGCCTGGTGTGCCTGGTCGGTGTGCCTGGTGTGCCTGGTCGGCGTACCCGGCGTGCCTGGTCGAATTGCCTGGTGTGCCTGGTGTGCTTCGTCGGTGTGCCTGTTATGCTGGGTATGTAGGTATCCCTGGTGTGCTTGCGTGTCTGGTCGCTCTGTCCGTTTTGCCTGGTCGGCGCGTCTGATGCGCCTGGGCTGTGACTAATTCGTGGCTGTTGTGCCTGGTCGGTGCGCCTGCTGTGCCTATTGTGCCTGGTCGGTGTGCCTGGTGTGCCTGTGCGGTGTGTCTGCTGTGCCCTATCGGTGTGTCTGGTGTGCCCAGTCGGCGTGCCTGGTCGGTGCGTCTCGTGTGTGTGGTCGGTGTGCCTGTTGTGCCTGGTGTGCCTGGTCGTTGTGCCTACTGTGCCTGGTCGTTGTGCCAGTTGTGCCTGTTGTGCCTGGTCGGTTTGCTGGTTGTGCCTAGTGTGCCTGGTCGGTGTGCTGGTTGTGCCTGTTGTGCGTGGTCGGTTTGCTGGTAGTGCCTGGTTTGCCTGTTGTTCCTGGTGTGCCTGAGCGGTGTGTCGGGTATGTCTGGTGGTGTGGTCGGTGTGCCTGTTGTGCCTGGTCGAAGTGCCTGGTTTGCCTTGTGTGCCTGGTCGGTGTGCCTGTTGTGCCTGCTGTGCCTGGTTGGTGTGTCTGGTGTGCCTGCTCGTTGTGCCTGTTGTGCCTGGTCGGTGTGCTGGCTGTGCCTGTTCTGCTAGTGAAGGATATGAACGGGCAAGCAGGAGGATGCCCGCCACGATATGGAACCTCCGCAACGCGGGGAAGATTTCATAGTGTGAACACAGTAAGCAATAAGCAATAACGATTTGCTGTATTCCCGCTCTCCTCCATTAGCTACTGAGACCCCCTTAACACCCTTGTAATTCAGCAGTTCGAAGACTTCATGACGTTTTGATAGCTGCCTGAAATCATCAGTGAAGGTCTGCCTGGACTGTTCTATCGGTCTGAACAAATCTGTCGGTGCCAGTGGCCGGCAGAAAAGTGGACGCTGTTACTGAGTAGTCTCCGATCTTCTGGTGCCCTCCCGCGTCTCCTGCGCAGAGCTGCTGCACGATTCGCTGCTGTGCGGTTGAGAACTGCTTGTGGCAAGACAGGCGGGAGAGGCGGGGGGAGGGGGAACGGGGGTTGATGGATAACCCTGTGGTGAGAAAGCCTGGAAGCTGGCAGTGCCAGTGCGGTTCGAGTTATCCAACTCCTCCAGCCCTGAGTGCTCTGTCGCTGACCCGTATCAGTACGCGTCCGAGTTGCTGCAAACTGAGCTTTGGTGGGTCTTGGAGCCTCGAAATCTGTGCCAAGCTGTGCCGCACCCTCTGCAGCATAGTCGGAAACGAACGATCTTTCATCAAGCTTTGCTATATCGGGTTCGCCGGCCGGCTCATGCTGGAATGTGTCAAGACATAAAACGATTGTGTGTGACATGGCTCTAGCTATGGTTTCGTACAGCGCAGATAGGTAAACTCTCTGTTGGGCAGTCCTCAAAGCTCTGGGCTGCTGATCCCTACCTAGGAGGTCGTCGTGGCCTTTATGGCTTATGGCCGTGACTGCATTTGCCGCCCTCTTGGGGTGTCTTTGAGAAGGGTTGGCGCAGTTTCCAGGCGCGCAGAAAGAATGGCCGTGGGGGCCCTGCCTACTTGTCCGAACTCGGAGTGGTCGAATTCTGTATATTGACAAAGCCCTGCTGCTATGAGTGCCTTGACAGGTTTGAAGTTCCAACTTGGGACTGCACGAGCTCCCAGGGGGGGGGGGGGGGGGCGCCGGGCCAGGTGGGGGGGGGGGGGGGGGGGGGGGGGGGGGGGGCAGGGTGCTCTACCAGCCAACACCACCCGTGATAGCAATGGCACCGAGGAGATCTATAGTTGCCATGAACCCACAATCGGATATGTGGAGCTGTAGCCACTGTCTTTCTGTGACTGCCGCCATCCCCCATGGGGATCTCCAGGACCTAAGTGGCGCCCCCCTTCTTTCCAACGGGCCGCCGAGAAGGTCTCGCACAGGGGGGGGGCCTCCAAACGTAGCAACGTAGCCAGCCTGGGTATGAGACGTCCAGGTAGCGACTGCATTATTATTGCTCAAGTCGCCAAACTCAGAGTCTATTAGGGTATCTATCGATCGGGCCCTAAGCTAAACAGCGGGCAGCAACACTCCCATGATAATATCTACCTGGTCCTGGATGTCGCCTCTCCTGTGCTGGCCGCCGAAGAGATCAGACATCCATATCATGATCTTGCGAGCGCGACGGGATATTCCAGTTGCACAGCATCCACCTCAACAGATGGTGCGGATGGCTCGCCCTGCTCCCCTCGTTTCTGGGCGGCCGGCCGACCTAGGCCGAAATGTGCTGAGATAGGCGGGGAGACGCTATTCAGATGTCAGAAATGTATGACCACGATAGCGCAGGTGTTCCCACGTGCCGATCGTGGTGGGATGGCGTACGTACCCATCCGCT